ATTTCATTTGATATTTATATATATTTATTGAATTTTATTGCTACATAGACATACATAGCCTATATTAATCCAATTTAATCCATATTAATCCATTATAGTCTGGTACATGGGCCTGCAGCCATTTGAAGACCAGAGAGTCCAAAGAGTCACACTTGGGCAAACATGGGTTTGCTCCACCTTGTTGTGGCGGTGCTGACGCCCTTGATTCTTGGTGTGCCACTGCCAAGTCTTGCAGACGACACAACATGCAGTCTACCAGAATCTCAGCCCCTTGTCAAGCGTTCAAAATTACTCTACATTGCAGGGAGCAGATGGAAATAGATCGAACATGTGGCATCAGGAAATCATGGGAATATTTTTTTGCTCATGGTAGATGAAGTTACCTCTCTAGAAAATTGAATTCCAACCTGGACAATCAATGTTGATCTTTAGAAAATCACGCTCCTTCAATTCTAGCGTTTTCCTGCATTGCAGGTGGTTTCGTGCTGAAGATCACCGAGATGCCATCGAGAGCTTTGTTACTTCGTTCAACATGCCTAGGAACTTGCATATGCTGGATGCCTTTGGTGCATCCCAAGCGATGAAGTTCCTGGGCTTGTCATAGCAGCAGGGAATCTGGTCAAATGATGCCAAATGAATTCAAATGAGGTGTCAAGACGTCTTAGGAATTTAATTCAATGATCTATTTGACCACCAGCTCTCCACCAAGATCAGATAAGAATAGAATGCATTCAGGAAGTGTTGGACTGACAATCACCGCGAAGCAGCTGCATTCGACATCAAAGTCAGCACGTCCCATGACATCTGCTCGCGCGCGGGCTTCTTCCTTTTCCTGGAGCTCGGCTGTCGGTAGCCAGATTCAGCATTGGGTTCGAATTTTTCTTGTGGGCTGTTCATTCTTCATATTGGGATGTATGGGGAAATATTGGGTGATTTTGTTCTCAATGGGTTTTTCTAAGAAAGATAACAGAGAAGGAGGTATCAGAGACAGGTTTTCTAGGTCGAATTTCCATCGGAATTGAGGTTGGCCCCGCAGGGGATCTGCATGGCGGGCCCTCCGTGTTCCCTGCACGTGAGTGCCTCGCAATCTGTACACTGCCGCTCCGAGGGGCGACTACTTGGCAACACACGGAACTATAAGGTGAGGTTGAGTAACAGGATATGGACCAATTTCGTGCCCAGGCTGTGATCTCCCAGTAGCAGATTTCCCATTGGTTTCCTCCCCGATTTTTCAACCAGTTTCTATTTCCTGGATCGCCCAACAGAGTCTGAGTTCTCGGGATTTCCAATGATTTCCATGGATTTCATGGGTCATGGCTTTAAGGCAGAATTTCTCCGAGCTATTCTTCATCGCAACATCCTGATTGCGATTGAACAACCGGCTTCTAGCTGGGCCTTCCGTGCACATTTGCAGGAAGTTATCATTCTGGCCAACTTGTGACTTGGAGAGAGGTTTGGGGACAATTTTTCTCAGCTAAAGGCTTACCAACAAGTTTGATTTAGCCTTCAATTCGAGTCATGAGAGCCACCATGGGCAATCTGCCTGACGTACATGGGGTTCTTCGGGCATGATCTCGCCAAGCCCAGCCATATCCTGGGAAACTTCAGGCCAGGTGGCAGACCTGTGGGTGAATGTTTGTTTTTTTGGGGATGATTTCGTTGTTGGACTTTGTAAGTCCTAAAAGTCCAAAGATTTCGTTGTTTGTGAGGGCTCTGCATCATTTGGGCCGGACATTGTCAAAGGCCGATCGCATTCGATTTACTGAACCTTGGCAAGTATATAATATTAATATATATTAATATAATCCTCTTACGAGTTTCCCTTAGAAAACCAGGTAGGTTAACCCCTCTGTAAGGACGTCTGTTTCTAGAGAAAAAAATATGCATGGGAACATAGAGGCTTTATGTAACAACCCCCGTTGGTTCTAGAGAGCATTTTTTTTATAAGTTGTAACCTATCATACTCGTATGGTCAATACATGTCAATACATATCAATATAATTCAGTATATATCAATAATATTCAATAATTATCAATATATCATCAGCTATAACCATTATATATCATATTAATTCATATTATATCATTATATACCCGCTTAATTCTAGATTATTATCATATATACCACGATCTACCACGACTGTCCAAGGAGAGGTTGGAGAAGAGGAACAAGCAGCGAGAGCGGAGGTCAGAGCAGACCCGCCATTACTACACACGTGTGATCAAGGCAGATGGGACACCAGGATGGTCGGGCGGACGCTCACTTGCAGCGTCCGCCTACTACACATCGTTCTTCTGCAAGGCATTGTACGCCTGTTGGGAGGCTCACCAAGGTTGAGTTCTGATCATCATTGATCATCAGGTTAAAGCTCAATCTGACAAGCCGCCAAGATGGCACCAATGACAATGTTCCACTCTCGCTTTCTATGGAAAGTTTGTTTTGTGATGGTTTGTGCTTCTTTTATCCCACTGGTGCGTTAATCAGCGCAATTCTTTGGGTCTAGACGTTAGACGTCTCTTCGACGTAAATTCGAAATAATTCGAATAGGTGCTCACAATGTTCCAAGTTGAGGTCAAAAAGACCATCAAAGACCTTAGGCAGTCTCTGCATGTCTCTGCCACTTTGAGTTTCACATAGTTTCAGAGTTCTTGGGATAACACACTCTGATCACAGAGGCACTCCTAGACAGTCTGGATCACGGTGCCCAGTGTTGAAAAGTATAGTGCAAGAGCAGACCAACAAAAATCAGAATCAATCAGAATCCTGTATGTCATTGTATGTCTATGTATATCTAGGCTGTGACATAGTTACTACCATTCAGTTCCCATTTTTCTAGAAAACATGACACCCAAAGGGTTGATTCATCCTGTGCGGTTTTATTTTTCTAGCGTGCATCATTGCAACCACTGGTTCATAATGGTTAAATGATGTTAAATGTGGTTCATAGATGTTCATAGTACTCATGATTATCGATGAATATTCTTGAATGTTGCAGGTGGTTGGATACTTATCCGATCTTATCCGGTGGATACATGTGGATACTATGACAATGCATCATCATCACACCTCTGGATTTTGGAACCATCATTTTGATTTGTTTTGAAATTGTTTTTTAGATATTTTGAGATCCTCTATGGCTAGATGATGGCATATCCCTTTGCTCCTAGGTTGCGAGACCGAACGTCTTGGACTTGGTCCCTCTGCCTCCTCCCAGCGAGGCCCCTCCGACACAACAACCCCTATCACCCACTCCAATGCCGATAGCTGATGGCGTGGCTCCTGTCTCAGGAGAGCCACTTCCAGACCAGGCTATCTCTGATGCTGAGCCGCCCATTCCTATCAAGGTCAAAGAAGAGCCACCAGATTCTCCAAAGGGCGAGTCCAAAGAAACTAGTTTCTGTTTGGATGAGATCAAGGCAGCGTGGCAGGAACGAACAAAGGTGAAACAAGAGAAGGGCACCAACCACGTCAAAGGCAGGGTGCCAGGATGCACAAATCCGGTGGGACCGTGATGTTTTTTAGTCTGTAACTGATATGTACTTATTTTTCTAGAGCTCAGGACCACCAACAAGAGACATCATGAGACAACCAACAGTTGCATCAAAGGTCATGCTTTCGTTTTTCTAAGCATGCCTCGGGTCAACTCACGTCCAACCGTCTCAGGTGGAAACGGCCTTGAGGACAAAGGAAAAGAGCCCAGCACTGGTTTCGAGCAAGGTCACAGGGGTCAGACGGGCGCCCTCATTCATTGATAACCTTTGCCATGGAATCCTGAAGGTGTTTGAATGTTTTTGATGTCCCAGATCATTTTCTTCAAGAATAACGTGTTTGATTTTCTAGAACAATCTGGAACATGTGTGAGCTAGGTATGTCTAGATTAATTTTGATTATATCTTTCCTCCTGATTTTCTAGGGACTCTCTATACCATTGAAAGGCGTATACCTGAAGGTGTTTGATTTTCTAGAGAATTTCTCCAGTAAGATTCAGCAAGCACAGAAATTCTTCATTTTGATAGTTCGTGGTCCAACCGTCTCAGGTGGAAACGGCCTCGAGGACAAAAGAAAAGAGCCCAACACTGGTTTCGATCAAGGTCACAGGGGTCAGACGGGCGCCCTCATTCATTGACAACCTTTGCCATGGAATCCTGAAGGTGTTTGAATGTTTTTGATGTCCCAGATCATTTTCTTCAAGAATAACGTGTTTGATTTTCTAGAACAATCTGGAACATGTGTGAGCTAGGTATGTCTAGATTAATTTTGATTATATCTTTCCTCCTGATTTTCTAGGGACTCTCTATACCATTGAAAGGCGTATACCTGAAGGTGTTTGATTTTCTAGAGAATTTCACCTGCATGTTCCGTCATGGTCCTGTGTCAGGGCTGATGACTCCAGAGAAGCTTTCTAAGCCTGTGCCTGTGGAAACCACAGCCATGGAAAGGTTGGAGATGGAGATGAGAATGTACCAGGGTTATATGGAATACCTGGACACACGCCCACCAGATGAAGCCCCTCCCACGACACCCATACGAAAGACTAAAGGACAGGTTTTCAATGGTTTTCAGGGCCTTCCTAATTTCTCTGGCAAGCCATTATGAGATATTATGAGTCTATGATAGTCTATGTCCCTGAGTGCTCCTTGCAGGACCCTCATTGGTTGATGATGACAGCAGCGGTGATGATGGAGCGAGGAGACAGCACAGAGGCGGGACTGGCCTGACGCCGGGGTAACTAGAAGAATCGTCTCTGGGTACAGAAGTCAACAAATCGCTTCGAGAGTTTTCCATCATACTTTGGGTCTGCATGGATTTCATGGCTCAAGACACCAGGGCAGAAGCTGAGACATACACAAGCTGAGACTAGTCACATATCTAGAGATGATGACATTGGAAGTCCTGTGCTGGATTGGAGCAGCTTCCCTTGTCATTGGCGCCTGGAAATTGATGTCATGGTTGCTGTACATGGTGTTCTCAAGACTTGGCCTTTGCTCCCCCAATCCTGGAATCATCAAGGATATGCAGCTCCAGATTCAAAAGCTGAAGGCTGAAAGAACCCGGATTGAAGAAGAGATATCCCAGCTTGACCAGCAATTGCGCGATTCAAGTGGCTTCAGCAGCGGCATTCAGTTGCCAAGAGATGTGGTGCATGTTTGCCCGAAAGGGACTTGCTATCATACAGATCCACATTGTGCATACGTGAGAGACCGTTCCACATATAGTCTAAAGCCATGCCAGGTTTGTAGCAAGAAGGGTTCCAAGAAGTCGACCTGACTTTGCCCTGGCTGCTCAAGTGACGCCAAGTGATGCCATTGCGTCGTTTCAGGTTGTTGTCATGTAGAATCATGTCCACAGTATCGCATTCTTGGACAGTTTCAGTGTGTCTCAGCATCGTGCGTGAAAACAGGAGGGCTTGATGATCAGAATTTGGAACCATTTTTTTTTGAAAACTCTTGGGGCAGTTTGTCTAGAAAACCACATTCAGTGAACCAGAACATTCACCTATACACTGACACTAAGAAAATCTAGGAAACCACCACCTGACTTAGGACAACATTATATAAGAATATAATAGAATATATAAGAATCATATGACATTATTACTGTATGCATATCGGTGATTCAATGTCATTGTATATTATTCATATTTATTCATGATTATTCGATCTTTGCTGTCGCTGCATCAGGTGGAGAGGTCCCAGTGCCTGCGTCAGGCCATCATGCCGAGGGTGCAGAGGGAGAAACCCAATTTCATACGATCAGGTGCCACAAAGAGTATCGAAAATTGCAATCCCATGAAAATCAGCCACACCGCATCAAGCATCAATGTGGGATGTTTTGAAATCATGAGCGTATATGACGTTTTCAATAGTTTTTATAAGTTTTCATTGCCCAACCTGTTTAAGGATCTTTTGGATTCTTTTGGTATCTACTTAGAAACCCAATGCCGTTCTTTAGAACTGTTTTTGATTTTCTAGAGTGCTTCCAACAACTGTATCTACTCCTTTGGAGCCTACGATTCTCATGGTTTCTGAGAAACGGAATGCTCGGTTTAGAACTGTTTTTGATTTTCTAGAGGTTCCCAGCATAATAGACAAATTATAAGTTGCCATAAGACCTGCTCGGCACTGGTGCCAGGTGACACCGAAGCGGCGACGAAGGCGAAGAGCAAGACGCTGCCCAGTGCTGACATGGATGCAGGCCACAGCAGGGACTCGTGCAGTGTTTTGGAGGGTTCTGGATCTCTTAGGATCTTCTGACCCGAGTGTGAGTTTCGAATAAGGCCTATGCCATCCTTTAGAACCGTTTTCATTTTTCTAGGTTGGATGCCACATGGCAACCTGTATAATGGTGCCAGTTGACACAGGAGCGGCGAAGAATGCGAAGAACAAGACGCCGGCCAATACTGACATGGATGCAGGCCACAGAAGGGATTTATAAATATTTATAAGGACTTACGTAAGGATGAGGAGACAATAGGAGACATGGGTTCAACCTGTTTTGAATCTTTTGGTATCTAAGAACCTAGAATGCCATGCTTTAGAACTGTTTTTGATTTTCTAGAGTGCTTCCCACGACTCAACCATGGGCATGGTGCATGAAATCAATCTAGGAAGGGTGATGAGACATAGCTTCAATTTGCTTCATACGGGAGCCATTGGGAGCCTGATATAGCCTGATATATGTATATGATATGACATGATATGACAATATATTGAAATATATTGCAATATATTGCATGTTTGTGAATTTTCTACATATATATATATATATGATCATGATTGATCATGTATGTATATGTTATTTTTTTCAATCTTCTATTTGATGTTATACATATTTAATCACATTTATGATTTATCAGTTGCCATAAGAACTACAGGAGCGGCGAAGAAGGCAAAGAGCAAGACGCTGCCCAGTGCTGACATGGATGCAGGCCACAGCAGGGACTCGTGCAGTGTTTTGGAGTGTTCTGGATCTCTTAGGATCTTCTGACCCTAGTGTGAATTTCGAAGAAGGCCTATGCCATCCTTTAGAAACGTTTTCATTTTTCTAGGTTGGATGCCACATGGGAACCTGTATAATGGTGCCAGTTGACACAGGAGCGGCGAAGAAGGCGAAGAACAAGACGCCGGCCAATACTGACATGGATGCAGGCCACAAAAGGGATTTATAAATATTTATAGGGACTTACGTAAGGATGAGGAAACAATAGGAGACATGGGTTCAACCTGTTTTGAATCTTTTGGTATCTAAGAACGTAGGTTTCTAAGGGTTTTTTTCCAAACCCAATGCCGTGCTTTACAACTGTTTTTGATTTTCTAGACATGCTTCCGACGACTGTATCTATTGCTTTGGAGCCTACGATTCTCATGGTTTCTGAGAAACGGAATGCTCGGTTTAGAACTGTTTTTGATTTTCCAGAGATTCCCAGCATAATAGACAAATTATAAGTTGCCATAAGACCTGCTCGGCACTGGTGCCAGGTGACACCGAAGCGGTGACGAAGGCGAAGAGCAAGACGCTGCCCAGTGCTGACATGGATGCAGGCCACAGCAGGGACTCGTGCAGTGTTTTGGAGTGTTCTGGATCTCTTAGGATCTTCTGACCCGAGTGTGAATTTCGAAGAAGGCCTATGCCATCCTTTAGAAACGTTTTCATTTTTCTAGGTTGGATGTCACATGGGAACCTGTATAATGGTGCCAGTTGACACAGGAGCGGCGAAGAAGGCGAAGAAGACGCCGGCCAATACTGACATGGATGCAGGCCACAAAAGGGATTTATAAATATTTATAGGGACTTACGTAAGGATGAGGAGACAATAGGAGACATGGGTTCAACTTGTTTTGAATCTTTTGGTATCTAAGAACCTAGGTTTCCAAGGGTTTTTTCCAAACCCAATGCCGTGCTTTACAACTGTTTTTGATTTTCTAGACGTATCTATTGCTTTGGAGCCTACGATTCTCATGGTTTCTGAGAAACGGAATGCTCGGTTTAGAACTGTTTTGGATTTTCCAGAGATTCCCAGCATAATAGACAAATTATAAGTTGCCATGAGACCTGCTCGGCACTGGTGCCAGGTGACACTGAAGCGGTGAAGATGTCGAAGGACCAGACGCCGCCCAGTGCTGACATGGATGCAGGCCACAGCAGGGACTTACGTAGGGATGAGCAGACATGGGTTCAAGAGTTCTTCTTCCAACCTGTTTTGAATCTTTGGAATCTTTTAGTATCATTTAGTATCTAAGAACATAGGTTTCCAAGGAATTCTTCCAAATCCAATGCCGTGGTTTAGAACTGATATTTTTTGTTTTTTTTTGATTTTCTAGAGGTTTTCCCACCACGTCACAGTGGGCATGCTAGGCACCGTCGGGAAGAGGAAAAAGAAGAGGAAGAAGAAGCATCAACCAGTTGCCACAGGTCAGGGAAATTGAGGGAACACATTGTTACATAGACAATCAATGACAATCAATGTTACTCAATGTTACTCATATAATATATTATAATATCAATTGATATTTTCTCTCTTCAAAAATAATGTGTCTGATTTTCTAGAAAAATCTGGAACATGTGTGGGGTGGGTATCTTTGCACTAACTTTGATCATGTCTCCCCTCCTGATTTTCTAGGGATTCACTATACCATTGACAGGCGTAGACCTGAAGGTATTTGATTTTCTAGAGAATTTCTCACTAAGATTCAGCAATGGAGTTGGAACTCCGATGCTTCTTTTTTTTCTCCTCCGGCAATGCATAAGTATCGTCAGCCCCTGTGGGCAGGTGAACCAGTCGATGCAGATGGTGGACCTGCATACCTCATTTCCCAGAGCATGCGTGCATACGCTGACAGAACGTCGGAGTCTGGCTTTTGGTTGGATTGGCTAGATGCTGCTCTCTTTGCATCCAACAATGAGAAGACATTGGCGTTTGTCAGCCACTGCAGAGCCAATGATGCTCCTTTGGAAATTCAGCATGCTAGTCATTTTCTGAAGGAGATTCCTGGTTTATCTGATGATGAGGCAGACCACACAGTGCACCGAAACATGGACACCTGGTTGCTTCTTTCGTGCAATGTTTCATTTGACAGAAAATTAGCTGCCAACCACTGGATTCCGTGTGTGTTCAAAGAAGTAATGGCAGAGAAGACCTACAGTGAATTGGTAGACCAGCAGATCGCGAAGTTGAAAGTTCTCATAGCTACTAGGCAAAGCGATCTTTTAGATGTCGAGCTTGAAGAGGATGAGGAAGTAGCAGCTCACATCAGTGCAAGCCTCAATGAGGAGATTTGCATGTAGCTTGCACCAATGGTGAGATACATTTGGTGGTTTAGAACTGTTTTTGATTTTCTAGAGGTTCACAGCATAGTAGACAAATTATAAGTTGCCATGAGACCTGCTCATCCTCGTACGAATTTCCCTCAGAAAACCAGGTAGGTTGTCCCCCTTGTAAGGACATTTGTTCATATGAGAAAAAAGACCTATTTGATCCAATTTGCCCCATCAGAGGGCAATTTTTTGCTGATGATAGACTGTCTCCATCTGTCTCCAATTTTCTAGACCCATCTGTCTCCAATTTTCTAGACCTTTCATGCTTGTACTGATCCCGAATGTGGCCACTGCAGGCACACCATGTGCATTGAGATGATCGAGGAACTAGATACCATCTTGCAAGTGGCTCCAATTTTTGTGCCAGCAGACGGCGATTGCATGGCTTGGTCACTCAGATGCCTGTTTGCGGGAGCATACCTCAATCAGAACTACAAGAGCAAGGCTTCTGCAAAATCTGTGCTCTATGTCAGGAACATCATTTACCAGATGTGGCATGAGAAGGCTGATGATGAATTCTGGCAACAGGTCTTTGCCTTTTGTTATCAAGATCATATGCTGGAGCAGGAGCCTGAACCTTGTGAGCAGGAGCCCGAGGTCAACAAGAAGGTCAAACGTGCTGCGCGTGCATCTCGTGCAGCTCCAATTCCTATTGCAGCTCGTGAGCCAGCGGATCCAACATTGAAAGCCCCGACAAGTGTGCATGAAAGATTCATGGATCCTCCTGTTCCAGATGTCGAAGAGATGGTTTCAGCCTCTTTGCTGAATGGTCACAAGCCCAAGATGGTGTCCATGGATGAAGTAGGTGATGAGGAAGAGGATGATCCTCGCAAGCGCAAAATGAGACGGCACACACGTTTGCTGAAGAAGAAACCAATGGACATTCAGAAGCTGAAACAGCAACAGCTTATCAAGTTCTTGGCTTCCAAACACTTGACCAATGGAGACTTTATGCGCCTTCACAAACGATCAGCCATCTTTAGAAAAGCAGGGGCTTGTCCTGAAGGCAACTTTCAGCACTTTCGTGCACATCTGCTGGCTGGCACGCTGCCAGGTTGTGAAACTTGCCAAGGCTGGATGACAGAGAACGATGTCACCCTTGAGAAGATCCAGGAAATGCTTCGAGAGGTAGAGGCAGGAGCACCACTTGCAATTCAGGACCAACCAGAACAGCAGGAGGCCTCTGAGAAGCATAGCAGCTGCAAGCCTAGAGAATCGAGAGCAGACATCCGCAAAGCGTGCCTGGAGTACCTCGAGAAAGTGCCGCACATTGAGGTGGTGGATGGTCATGTCTTGAGGTATCGCTGTACAATTTGCTGCAACAAAAAGTGTCCAGAGGGCAAGATCAACAAGTTAGGTGAGAAACCCACCTTGAATACTGTGGAGACGTTTGTTCAGGACCACCTCAAGTCACAGACTCATGTGAAAGCTTTGGCGATGCTGGCATCTGTTGCTCCTCCTGTGGAGCAAGCTGAACAACATGAGGACTGTGAGGGCGAGCCTTGTGAGGGCTACTGGGTGTCCAATGACCAGTCAACAGGAACCTTGCACTTCTACAATGAAGAGTTTCTTGTGTGGATGGCGCACACCAAACTTGATACAAAGGCTAGCCACACCTACCACCAAAATCACACTGATGGGACATGGCGTGTCCAGCACAAGTCTTGCACTGGATTTCGCCCAAGAGGTGTCTTGTGCTGCAACTTGTGTGAAAAGCTTGGGGAGCCGAAGAATGTCCAGAGGCTGGTGGTGTCTTTCACTCGGAACTTCACAGCAGCACACCTGCTCTGCAGAAAGCTTTACAGCACGCCAGAGGATGTCAACGCCTGGATCAAGGAGATTGATCGCTCAGCATTTGGAAGGTTCAACTGCAAGATTTGGGATGGACTTCAAAAGCTAACCCTGATCCAGCTGCAAGCATTCGTTGCCGCGAGCTACCAGACCTTTCCAGAGCATTTGATGACGAACACCCTCAGGTACTTCAAGAGCACAGTGGTGGATCCATGCTTGCGGGTCAACGTGAGCAAGATTGATGCGAGTCTGGCTCCTGTAGTAGCGCAGTTTGTCTCAGCGTTGGCCAACCGACGGCTCAATGACGCTTTGCTGAGATAGTCCAGTCGGTGCCTGTTTGGGATTTTCTAGACCCTATACTAGTCCAGGCTGTTCCTGTTTGGGTTTTTCTAGACTAGCCAGATTTGAACGAATTTGAACCAGAAGGTATTTGAACCAGAGGGTATTGTTTGTGCTTTTTAGTTGGCTAACATATTCTATTCTAACATTATCAAACATTATAATATATTAATATAATTTAATATAATTTAATATATGTTATGATTATATATGATTATTATGATTGCATTGTCTACCCTATGTGAACATAAAGTTTCTGGGCTCCGCTCCTGATTTTCTAGGATTGTTTTTTGTATTTTTCCTCATGGTTGGGGAGCGATTGGGTCTAAGGAGTTGGACGAACTCAATGTGCGCATGGCCGATGCATGTGTGAGGGGACAGCTCGATGCGAGTCCCTTCCTTCAGGGAATACTTTTGCAGATGATGCGCAAACTAGACAAAGACCGCCGAGGAGTATCGATGGTCGGGAGGCCAATGGGAAGCACTGCGCTGGAGCACCAGCTCATGAGCGATGCTGCCTTTGAATTTGCCCTTGCGGGCAAAAACAGGGAGCTTGCGATGAAGCTGGGGCAATCATTGCGGCCCAAAAGTTTGTGCACAGATGAACTTCCCCGTCACTCATTGCCGAACCCCACGTTGTCTCTGGCTGACAATCGCTCGGAGATCTTGCGGGAAAACCTGCAGACAATCAACAGATTGTTTTCTCTTGCTGCAGGCCAGCAAGAGAGGCGACTGATCCTTGCAATCGACCACACGTACTTGACAAGGCATGTTGCCCAGGCAAAGGTAGGAGGGGTAGCTGGCTTGGTTGGCCCAGCATGGTCTCCTTGTGGTGGAGAAGATGATGGTTCTCTACCTTTCGCCCAGATGACGCGAGAGGCAGCTAGGACAGCCGCTGCGCCTCTCATGCTCGAGTGCCTCTGTTGGAACCCCGCCGAGTCCTCCAAGAACAGAGTCTTCAGCATGTGCTCTCAGCCAATGGCTTTGAAGGCAATTGTGAAAGCAAAAGGTGGTCACCCAGTGAACCCGCGCAACGCGGGAAAGTGGGTTACTTGGCAGAGCTTGCTTGTCTCATACTTTGAATCCGAATGAAATTTTCTAGAGTGCCCAAATTTTGACACATTGGGTTGATTTGGGTTGATTGTTCAGGTCGAATGGTATTATTTAGAGCCCCATAATTTTGAAATTGTTTACGAAGTCTTTGTTGCATTGCCTGGATATGCCTGGATTGTTTTGGAATGTTTTGGAATCGAATAAGATTTTCTAGGATTGTATAGTGTCTCTGAAGAAGATCTGCCACCGAAGTCCTCTTAGAGAACTAGGTGCTTCTATCTTCAAACCCAGTTTGACAAAGCTGTTTTTGTTTGTTCCAGTCGGTTTCTTTGCACTCATTCAGGTGATGTTGAACGTGGTTGGCAAGGTGATGGAGAAAGCAGCATGGATTGTGAGGTATATCACATTCGATGCCCATTGCTCTCATGCATGGTTCCGTGAAGCTTTTTTCGGGAACCTGGAAACTGTCAAACAGACTGATTTGGACCAAGTGCCGTTCTTCCGGAATCTGAAGCATCGACCACTACCTAAGCACGCCTTGCCATTCTTCCCCTTGCAGCTCTGCGAATACGATGGGCTGCCAGTGGCAGCAATACCAGGAGTTTGTTTCTCGGATGTTTGCTTCAGCACCTGTTTTTCTAGCATCCTAAAGGTTTATGGGAATGCAGGCCTCTAGTTTTCTAGTTTTGTGCCGGGGCCGATTGCCATCATTTGACATCGTTTGCATACATGTGCATATACTGTATCAACATGTATCGGATACATACATTGTTCCGAAATGAAATGTGGTCTTGGAAATTTGGCCTAGGTCACGCAATGAAGAACTGCGCTGGGCAGCTGATCTCGCCTCTGAGGACGATCACATTCGGTCGTTTCTCCGCCGATTCATCGGCGGCTCGAAGGATGTGCATGCCACCTTCTGCATTTGTGCGCGATGACCGGCAGTCAGATCACCTGGTGGCCCTGATGTTTAACCCATACTTTCTGATCACCGACCCTGACACTAGTTCTGTGCATTATATCAATGGATTTTAAATGATTTTAATGGATTTTATTTGATTTTTTTCATGTTTTTTCTGTGTTGTGTGTTCCCAGGATTGACCTTTCATGCCTTGAAATTAAAAATTAATAACAGAATGTGTGTGATGTTGAATGGTGGCCCTTAGAAAAGCTGACTCTGACATACCATAGATATCCATAGATTATAGACGATAACATAATAGAAGAGCTTAGAAAACCACATGTGCGGCACCCAAGGACATCAGCATGCAGCGGGCTTCTGTTCCTTTTGATGCCAGGGGCTTTTGCCTTCTCAACTTGGTGGTTGCACTCTGCAGTGCAGCTCGGACTGTTTTTGAATGATGTTCCGATTCTGGAAAATTCTCATGTGTGCACATGTGAGAGAATTGATCAAATTTGTGTGAATGTATTTTTCTAGACACCACAGAATCAATCAACAGTTGGAAGATGTTGGAGGTGTGAGGGGAAAGGTTTGCAGTTGTTTTCACATCTCAGTGCGGGCCATTGAAATGTGCAGGCACCCCTGATGCACAAGTCTATGTCCTTGCTGGACAGACTGGAGAACGCGCTGTGTGGCTTTGTCCTGATGGACTTATTTAAGCTGCTGAGCACCAGAGAGTGCAAGCGGCGAGGACTTCCAGCCAACAGTTTGTGGATGGCATCGCAGACGCACCGCAACCTCCAGTATGTGGTCATGGGTTTTGTGTCCTCTGTCTTGGGAAAAGACAGAGTGGGAGATCCATGGAAGAATTCTCATCTTAGATGGACCGAGTTACCGATTGAAATGTGGTTTGGTCGGCTTCGTCAAAGGGCTACTTCGGCCCAATTCAACGCCAAGCAGTATTGGTCCCATGCTGCTGCAGAGATGATGCGAACGAAGAAGCTTGGGGTCGGTGAGAGTGATTCGTCCATTCTCCAACCACCCACGGAGGAAGAGTTCTATACGGCCAGCCAGCGAGCCCTGAACAGTGCCCTCAAACTAGCAGCTTGGGCCGCTGAGGTTTCTGAAGAGACCCTGTTGGCTGCCTATGCCGCGTCCGCTCCAAACATGATCCCCGCATATGATGCCAATGAAACCCTCCATCCTTGGGAGAGGGATCCAAAAGAGGATTGGGAGAGTGAAGATGCCGCAGCAGATCCTGAGCAGAACGCAGAGAAAAGGTGGCAAGAACTCCTCAAGCATGTACGGGATGAGGCCGCTGCTTCTCTTGAAGCTTCTGAGCAACCTGAAGGGCATGACCAGAAGCGCAGTGAAGAGAACGAGAACCATGAGGAAGAGAACACTGAAGAGAACACTGAAAAGAACGCAGATCGCAATGAAGAGAAGATTGAGGAACCTGCAGCTATGGACGAGTTTCATGCAGTGCTGGGCATGCCTGATGGGCTGGACCTCAAAGACCTTTGCCAGGACACCGAGATGGATGCTGGAGATGCTATGGCTGATGGCTCTTCGCAGTTACTTTGCACACTCCGCGAGGCACTAAGAGCCACAAGTGACAGCAGTAGCATTGAGTGCTTTGATAAACTGTGGCGCTTGGTTATGTATCTCCGACATTGGTTTGGAGGAATGGATCAACAATGGGTGCGTAACCCCCGTGCAGCTCGCAAAAAAGCTGCGACAAAGCATTGGTATCGGTGTCTTGGCTCTTTAGAAAAACAGGGGGTGGTCTACCTATAATCTTGTATGTTCATAGAAAATCAGGTGCATGCCCTTTACTGGTTTTTGTTGATGGATGAAGATGTTGTGATGATATGTGATAATGCCTTAATATTGAAATATATTGAAAATCTTCACAATATATATCAATATATCATAATATAAAGATATATAAAGTAAATATAAATAAAGAATAAATAAGAATAATATATATATATACATTATATAATATAATACAATATAATATAATATAAAATGTAATATAATATAATATAACACAATAAAATGATATATAATATAATGATATATAATATAATAATATATAATGCAAATATAGATAATCAAATATAATTAATACAGTGTTTATTTTAGATGTATATATGGAAATGGACCATTGGTATATTGGGTAAATCTTGGATGTATTGATGCAGGTGGAACGAGATGAAGCTGGCTGAGCTTCGACTTGAGATGGATGACAAAAATTCAAACTTCCAACGCGGTGGACGCTTGGAAAAATGGAAACAACTGACTTTGGATGCAGCTTTGAAACACAATGCGCAGATCGAACTGCCTGACGCAATTGAGAACCTCGTTTCGAAAGATTGTAGTTTTGTTATGTTTTGTTTAAATTGCATTTTTGATTAAGCTTGTGATTTTCTAGAAGGTGGTGTTGATGCCCTATGGGCAGTCTGTGTTTCTCTAGATCTCTAGAAGTTGATCACCTATAGGGTTTGGACATGTTTGGACTGAGATAGCCTGAGATTTTCTAGACAGATCTTGATCTTTCAATCGACCATATGTATTGTTCCGATCTCGGGGTCCATCCGGGTGAATTATTTAGATAATTTTAGAATATTTTAGATGTATTTAGACCACATTGGATTTGCTCAGGAGTGGCAACATTGTGGCAGTGGTGGTGCCGAAAAAGTCCCAGAACAGGAGGCAGCGGGCTTTGATTGTGGCTTACATCACCAGCGTATGGAAGAGCAACAAGCAGCCAAAATTGGTGACATCGGCGATTCCTCTTGGGCATGTTGTAGCGTTTCGCTGCACAGAGCTGCAGCCCCTGGACCGGAACGTGGCCTCCTGGCAGGCGAAGGAGGACTCACCTGCCTGGGTCTTGAAGCCAGAGACCGTGGTTGCAGTTCTGGCAGTCTCAGAGGCAGCTGATTCTATGCAATTGGGAGTAGACCGGTTGCAAGTGCAACTGTGTGGCGAGTCGGTGGGAATCTTGGACCAAATTGAGAAAGCTGCCGAATGGTGGCCCGAAATGGATGAGGATCAAGATGCAGGAGGCCAAGATCAAGCCGTGGCTGGTTTGTTTGTGTCTGCCAGGAGAAAACGCAAGCGTGCCAGTGGCAGAGCAAACCATATGAAAGATGCGAAGGAGAAGGAAGCCAAACATGGCAAAGAAGGGAAGCACAAGGTGAATAAAAAGAAAGACAAGAAGGAGAAAAAGGAGAAGAAGGAAAAGGAGAAAAAGGAAAATGAGAAGCCCAAGTGCTGGTTAAAGAAGGCTCGTAAGGAGAAACCAGTTGCCTTTGAAGAAAAACATTTCAGGCGAAATGGGGTTGGACCTGTGCTTGTCGCACAAACGATGGTAAAAATGAAATGCTTGGAAGAGGCAAAGTTCCACGAAGAGGCATCATGTTTTAATGTGGATGGCAAGTGCATGATCGAGAACAAGATCTGCTCTGACATCATGTGGGAGGATGTGGTGAACAAAGCGCATGACTTCCTGTGTGCGGAGTGGCTTGCAATTCAACGCGGTAGTTTTTTTCTTTTTGTTTGGGAAGGTTTCTCAGATATTTGTTGATCCCAGTTCGTGATTTTCTAGAGGGTGATGATATGCTTTACTTGGTTCCCCTAATTTTCATTAATTTTCTAGAGATAGGATCATTTTTTTGAAAAAATATGTTTGTATATTTTTTGTTATATGTTGCCAAGGCATTGCAATACATTGTCTAGAGACAGGTTTACATGACAACACAAATATATACAAATATGATCAAATATGTTAATATGGTCTGCCCCCCATTTTTCTAGAAACAGGATGTTGATCTCTAGAAAATTGGAACCATTCCCTGGGATTTTTTTTCGAACATTTTGATTTCGATTTTCAACATTATACCATTCAAGCAGGGTGATGTTTTTCCAAGAAAAAATACGGCCCATAGCTTCGAAAATGCACTTCTTGGGGGGTGCCATTTTTCTAGGGTAGCTCGAATTGGTTTGATGTCTGTAGCTAGATTTTCTTGGGTCATCTTGGTTCCCTAATTTATACAGCATTTATTTTCTAGTAGAAAATCACAGGCCCCAACCGGACCCGGTAAACTGCCACAGGGTTTCAAATAATCCATCAAATTTGATTTTATTATATTTTATTAATATGGGCTGCCCCCATTTTTCTAGAATGAACCTACTTTTTTTTAAGAGTGTGCCATTTTGCCGTCAATGCTGGGCAGGTACTCCGAGTTCCATACCAAACGCTTTGGCAGAATGTTGTTCGAGAGATTTGAACGAGTGAGAGAGCAACTTCAGCTGGGTGAGAGCCGCAGGTGTTGGATCGTTTTGATCGTTGACATTTGCGGCTTTATCAAACGCACGTCCACGTAGAAAATGCATGGCCATTGTACAGAGTAGGCGGTGCACAGAGTAGGCTTTGGCGATCTTCTGCGATCTTTAGCAACAAAGCATGCGACGTCCCGCATGCAACCAGTCATGGGATAATAGTGCCAGACGCAGATGACATCTGATGTATTTTAGAAAGATGCAGAAAGAATCAGAAAGATGTGTATTTATTCAATTTTATTGAGATTTACCAGATCTATTCAGATTTTATCAGCGTTTTATTTGATTCCAATTGGTTTCAATTGATTTCATATGACTTCATCTGACAACTGTTGAATTTCGGCTGGCAACTATTGGGTAGGATGGCTGAACATATTGCTGAGAGATACTGAGACTTTTGCCAGCGGAAAGGAAAAAATCGAAAAAATCGAATTGGAAAAATCATGAAAAATCGAAGAAATCGAAGAAATCGATTTTTTCGAAGCTGCTGCTGTGGGAGAAACTGGGTGACATTCGAAACACCATGTCCTCTAGAAAACCAAGACTTGTAACTCGGTAGTTGGTTTCTATGTCCGCTTTTTCCGCAGTTAGGATCCTACCTCAGATGTCCGCGCATGATATTCTAAGGAAAAATGAGCCTACCATAGTGGAAAAATGCATTTTGGTATGCGTATGATTTTCTAAATGTGGTACTGTTATTTTGTGGTCAGAGTGTGCTTTACTATTTCCGTTAACTTAGGACCCTTCATTTTCTAGTAGAAAAGCAGGGGTGCCAACCTACCCTGGTAAACTCGTACCCCGATTACATATATATATATATATATCTACATAATAGAGAAACAGCTGAAATGTGTTGACCTTTCCTCGCCATCGGCCCCTGGGCTAAGGCAGCAGCTCAGCTGGTGTCACCGCAGGGAAGCTTCTGTATGGCCAGGATCTTGGTATTTTCCAACGTTGGATGCCATGGATGCCATGGGCGAACTGATGGCGAAATGATCCATGGTGTAACATCCAGCGAAACGTTTTTCTTGTTCTATCTTGCGGACCCCTATGATATGTATATATGTATATATGTATATATATATATATATATTTGTGGGTATACATATATATGGGAAACGCGGGGCTTCCCATGGAAAATGATCTAGGCATGGTGGTTTTCCATGTATGAAATAACTATTCTTCGCAGATTCACGACCCAATTTAGGGAAGAACAACTGTGACTCACCGCTCCCGCTGCTGGTCTCAATCATACATTGCATTTGATCTTTGGAGGGTCATGATTCCCCGTTCTCATTTGCAAAAACCAGGGTCCTCGGCATATCTTTATGCTTCCGGATTGCAGAACACCACTGGTTTCCAGCATTTAGACCACAATCCCAAAGGATGGGAAGCAGCTGAGTAGCTTGCTGCTCCCGGCAGCAAATCTGAAAAGAATGATTCAGAATGATGAGTGAACCCCCAAAGCTGTCATTGTTTCCTGTTTAGACGGAGCCTGCTACCAATATTTTTATTGGGTCTTTGCCCTGGCTGAGATTCACGCAGCAGCACGGCTATCAGACGTACTCGCAGCTTTGAAAAAGTCACTTGGCAGCGGAAAGGTTTGATACCAAGAGCGATCAAATTGTGAGAAAGAAGAAATGTCATCTTCAATAGATCCAAGGGTCCAAGGCCATGTAAGACGTTGGATGCCCCTGGAATCTTAGGAGTTTTATTGCCCTGCAACCTGCAACAAATGGTGGATCTGTGCCGCAGGTATCGATTCGGCATCCGCCGAAGGGTCGATATCTTCTTCCGGGGGAACTACAAAAGCGTGGCCGTTGTTTGTTCACCACCGACGGACACCACGATGAGAAGTTCCCAGCAGGAGAGGGAGCTACATGTGAGAAGAAAATATGAAATTCAGAACCGAGCCGCAGGAGTGGGTGTAGTGGTAAATCAATCCAATATTCATTAGATACTGTACATTGTTTTTGTATACGTTGTATTATAATTATACATAATGCTTGTATTATAGAGTTCTATATGATATCAAATGATATCATAGATCAAGACCGATTAATAACCCCACACACGGTCCAGAAGGTCAACAAGGTTAAAACAACAACATCAAAAATGGAAATCCCCCTAAATAGTGGCCCATGAATCATGTATTTATGGAATTCATGGGGGTCTGCATGAATCTATGGTTTCTTCAAGGGACCCCAAACAATGGAACTGCCACAGCAAAACCTTACAACTCAGCCCCCCTACACACCCTGCACCCAGACCCTCCCTCGATCTCACCCTCTCATCCACCAAAAGGCTGATGGTTGCTAAGTTCTAAGTCAAACTTGAACGCGTTCAATTCAAAATTGACTTGGAGGGGAAAAACAAAAATTCATGGTTCCAGAGATGGGTGTTTAATTGGCAGAGTGGGCCCGACTATTTGGTAGGTATATTTTGACATAGAGGAGAAGTAGTGGAGTCAAAAAAAATGCCAGAGATGTGGGTGTTTCATTCGGAGGGATTTCTTGATCCTATCTTGACAACAACTCCGTTCTCATCTATATTCCCGGTGCTATGCCCCCAACAAGTCTGGCAGCCGGCCTCTCCTGGCGCAGTTAAGATGTGAGGAGGTTGAAAAACTACATGTCATCGAACCTGATGGAAGTTGGTGTGGAGCTCAGTGGCACTCAGTGGTGCGCGATTTACAAGTCGCTTGAATGATCCTTTCACTAGGCAAATGCTTAGACACTATGGTAATCATCGGTTCATGTGTACACTGTCCAAAGGGTGTGCAAAAAAGAAGGAAGCGTCAGTTCGCTGGCGGATGTACGTCACAATTCTAGGAAAACGAAAAGTGTTTGATACCTAAGATGTTGGAAGCGAACTCTTCCTGAAATTCCTACAAGTGTTTCTCTGTTCTTGGAGCCTACAAGTCATTTTTCATATGCGACAAAAGAGTTGCTGCTATTGCTGCAACCCCCAACGACCAAGGTCTCCTGGATACTTGGAGATCTGCGAAAAGATGGGACTTTGACATCTCGAAAAAGTTACCGCTGGGCCGAAACGGATTTGGCGATTTGGGACACGACGACCGCGTCAAATTTCGGTGATGGTATGGGACGCAAGTCGAGTTTCCTGCTGATCTTTGCATTGCTGAAAGATGAAAGATATGGAGACGAGCCAAGTCGAAATCAACTTGCCTTTCATAGTATACTTCCCATCGTTTCAAGTGGCACCACGGGGGACCCTATGACATGTTTGACGCGTTTGACTGTGGCCTTGGCGAAGAAGGTGATTGTTCTGCAGCCCATGCAGAAAGCGAAGCTGGCGAAGGAAGACAGAGACGAACAAGAAGACTTCTGAGGGAAGTTCTTCACCACTTTACAACATCAAGGTTCTGATTTTTCTGACACCACGACATCACTTCAGATCGCACTTGCTCCTCCCATATAGACCGGCAGTTGAATAGAACCCCGCGCTTTGAACTAGCAACGTGCCATTGGAAGAGACACGGTGTGCAGACAGCGAGACCTGCCGAGACACCTTGCAGAGTAGCGTGATCCGGGCATTATCCCAAGCCTGATGGAGCTAGATGCTCGTGGCGGGTAAAAGTGTATGATGCAAAATTTCCCTCTACAGATTCTGTAGATGGACATGAGCCTTATTACCTGATCTAATGATATGTTGCAAGTCAAGTTTACCGCTGATCTTGGCGCTGAAAGATCTTAGCCTGGAACTGCAGGAGATGTTTGCATTAATGGCCTCAAAAATTCACGAACTTCCAGAACTTAAAACATAAGTTGCAATGAAAACACGGACCTTTCATATATGGACTAGGCTGACTGAAGCAGTAGTTAAGGTGATTTGGCATTTGCATGATTTTGCATGTACGTCCATGTATTCAGCAGGGTGTCAACACTTCCACTTATAGTGGTAGAAGGCCCCCTGCAATTTGGGTCTAAATGAATTCGAACTATACTGGTACCTGGATGTTTGGTGTTCCTCCGACTGGAAGATTGCTTGGCTCAGACTCGGCTACATGAGCGTTAGCGCTAGACCTAAACGAATGCTGCTTCATATGTCAGCAGCGAAGAAACCTATATGATTCATTCCTGGCTTCACAGCAGTTTTCCATGGAAACCATTGGCATGTTGATGAAATTAGACTTCTTGGATATTGGACGTGCGATGATGGATGATGTATGTGGTCCCTGGGTTTGAGCCCATATGCAGGGGCCGCCCCAACGCGCATTATCACCGTAGATCTAAGCTTGCACACTCAAGTCACACAGAAGCTCTGTAAGCCCTTTAGGCATGTCAGAAGATGATTGGAGCCGCTTGGACATCCATCAGCTTCTTGTGTTCCCCAATCCCACGGATATGCGATGATGTGTCGACAGATCAGACCCCACAAAGGGTGCAGGGTTTGGCCAGGTTCAGTTTCTCAAACCATCCAAAATTTGGACACATGCTGATATCTCAGCAACTATTTGGATATTAGCTGATATGAATTGAGATAGTTTGCATGTGTTTTCATGATATCATGAATCACCATGATATATTTGAGGCATTTTGGCACACCCTTTGCTGAGGCATGGCCCTGGAGCTGGAGGCTCCTCCCATCTACTACAACAAGGCGGGAGCTGTCTCGATAAGTGGGCACATAATGAGCCAAGATGAGAAGACGTTGGGTTTGAAATGGTTTGTGTGGTGTTTCTTGTTTCTTGGGGTTGCATGTTGGCGCTCCTGGTTTTTGTTGGGTTGACTGTGTTTTCGGGCTCTATGAGGTAGGCTCTGGAGTCTTTGGATTTGAGAATTGCTCTGCGCTGTATATTGTCATTCCTTGGTTGATGGAGCTGGAAACTGGAGAGCAGAAGAATGTGCATGTCATATTTTTGCCAACATCAAGATACATTCGTGGTTGATGCTTTGGAACATTTGTTTTGACTTTCCATATATTGGGAATAATCATCCCAACTGACGAACTCATATTTTTCAGAGGGGTAGGTATACCACCAACCAGATTCAATAGCATTCAATTTATGTCAATTATCATGAACTAGTCAACCTCGGATCCTCACATGTAACTCCAACCGTTACACAACTGCTCCCCTGACAAAAGACCATTTGAATCTTACAATATTTCTCCCAGAACCTCACGTGAAAAAGACACATGAACGGAATAATCCTCAGAATGCCTGTTTTACAATGTGTTTGAAAAAAATGTTGAGTTTTAATATGTTTTAATTGGTAGTTGTTTTTGAAAGGCAGAGAATCCTAGGGGGTTATTGATCCCAACTGGGTTTGCTTCAGCCTGCTGAGGCTGACTACATTCAAACTGCCTCTGGCAACAAGGCATTGATGGGAGCTTGGATGAGTTCGGAAGCGGCGATGCGTTTCAAGATTGGGGATACCCAGGTCTTGTCAATCCATGATCAGTGTTTTTGGAGAAAACCATAGTAGTCTTAAGTTTGATAGACAGTAACGCAGCCACTGGACCACGGGTTCCGTCTATAGTTGAATCAATTGTCGAGCGTAGCTCCGCCAGGCTGGAAAAGACCTTGCCCCATGGAATTCCCCAACAGGTTTGAGTGAGTTTCAAGAACATCTACATAAGATCAAATTCATTTGTTACTGGCTCAACCTACACCCAAGTAATTGAGACCTCAATTGCTTCCAATCTCTGCCTCGCAGCCGAGTTCGGCAGGTAAGTCGAAATTCAGTGTTGTGCGGCTCGCAGAATATCACCTTGGTTGGCAACTCGGTGATCATGTACGGCTGCCCAGCTGGCTCCAAGGGAAGATCCGCCCCTTGATTGTGTTACTCAATTGCTCCCCAAGGCAATCCATCATAAATATTCCCAACTAATGTTGCAACCTGGAGATTCAAGAAAGTAAACCAGTATCAAGCCACCCATGTTTTGATGATTTTTGATGGTTGATACCACCCATTTATGTTGATTTAGGGGATGGTGGATCCTCCTTCGCCACGGTGCTGCGAGGCCAGGCACGGTGCTGCGAGGCGATTTGCAGCTACTGAAAATCGGCCTCTCGGAACCGATAAAAACTCTGGTAGTTTACCAGTTTGCTATTTAAAGTTACCATTGATAGTTGATTTAGCTGTTAAAAATGCTGCGTTTCCATAGCTATGTTAGTTTACAGAGGGTATTTATATGTATTTATTGTTGTTTCATGATAATGACTGGTTAATATATGTTAAAATGTGTAATAAGTGCGTTTCTGATATCATGATCATTGACACAGATCATTGACAATGCTGATGAGGAGGATGATGATGATGATGATGCTGGTGGTGGTGGTGCTGCTGCTGCTGGTGCTGGTGATGTCACACTTCCCAGTGAATTTCTGACGAAGCACCGAGGCAGACACGTAATCGTTGGCGAGAATTGCGTCCTAAGACCATCGTACAAGAAGTACAAGGCCAGATGTCATTGACTGGTTGGTGGTTTGGAACATTTTTTATTTTTCCATATATTGGGAATAATCATCCCAACTGACTTTCATATTTTTCAGAGGGGTAGGTCAACCACCAACCAGTTGATGATTTGAGACCGAAAAAGACCTGTCGTTTTTGGCCACGGTCGTTGATTTGTAGCCCGTTGATATCTGCTGGTCAATGGAACAGCAAAGTCGCAACAAAATATGTGGAGCTCATGGGTCATGGAGAGTCGCCAAGGACAGTTGGTACCCTCTGGTAAACTAACATAGGTATTGAAAATGGCAATTTATAGTGAGTTGTCCCATTACAAATGGTGATTGTCCATAGTTATGTTAGTTTACCAGAGGGTAGGTTGTGCGACCCAGGGTGTTTATGTACGCGTGAATATTACTGAATGTAAAATGTTAGGATGTACATTAATATGATGAGATTCTTATTTGATGTGGTGTGCCATGATGTGTCATGGTGCAATAGATTGCGATATGTTGCAAAGCAATATGATGTAATGTAGTCCACTGTATTGTAGGAAATCATATTACAATACAATAGAACATAGTATAACGTAGCAATATGATACAAAGTATATAACATTATACAACTAGCGCAATGTCATACAAAATATGTTGTACGTCTGTGATTGTGCACGTGGGGAGGGCTAAACCGTACCAATCCATCAGAAAGGCGTCCCAAGCTGCCCATGTCGCAAGGGGAACATCGCTTTCTTCCCAATGACCATTGGCGACTACGTGACAGTGGGTGCCAAGAGCGTGGTTTGTGCCGCACACATAGGCCCCTTGAGGGTGTTTTTTGGGGTATATACTCTCAGCTCACGAGTATGGACAGAAGGAGTGGCTTAGAGACTATCTCCCCATGTGTATTTTTGGAACATGGATGTAGGGCTGTGCCAAAAGAGAAGTTGGTCATTTGACAGTGAAGTTTGGTTGCCCCAACAGGCATGTCTGAAAATCTATGGTGTTGACCCTCAGACAAGCCTTAATGTCCGTAGCCACTTTGTGTTGTTGACAGGGATGGATGCTTCTTGTGGTGCTGCAGGTTCTTGCGTCAATATCGGAGAGAATTGTATCATTTCCAAGCGCTGTATCTTGAAGGAGCGACCTCTGTGTTGCTAGGAGCTTGCCGCTCACCCGGGTGCAGTAGGAAGCTCCCCTTAGCAAGCCGTTCAATGCCATGCTAGGTACCAGTGACGGCCAAAAGGGTGAATGCATTTACCTGCCTGGATTTGTTTTAGTTTGTCAATGTTTGTCAGAAAGTGAGGAACCCCCGATTCCAAAGGATGATCATGATTTTCCCTTTTATGTGTCTATGTATTTATATTTATATGTATGTATATATATAGAGAGAGAAGATAGAAAGAAAGATAGGTTAGATAGATTAGATAGATGGATAGGATAGGATAGGATAGGATAGGATAGATAGATAAACAGATTGATAGATAAGATAGATAGATAGATAGATAGATAGGTAGATAGATAGATAGATAGATACATAGATAGATAGATAGGTAGGTAGATAGATCAGATCAGATCAGATCAGATTAGATTAGATAGATAGACAGACAGACAGACAGATATATAGATGGATGGATGGATAGGATAGGATAGATAGGATAGATAGGATAGATAGGATAGACAGGATAGGATAGGATAGATAGATAGATAGGATAGGATAGGATAGGATAGATAGATAGATAGATGAGATAGATGAGATAGATTAGATAGATCGATTAGATAGATTAGATAGATTAGATAGATTAGATAGATTAGATAGATTAGATAGATAGATTACATAGATCAGATAGATGAGATAGAATGATTGATTGATTGATTGGTTGATTGATAGATTAGATAGATTAGATAGATTAGATAGGTAGGTAGGTAGGTAGAGATAGAGGTAGAGATAGAGATAGATATAGAGATATAGATAGATGTAGATAGATATAGATAGATATAGATAGATATAGGTAGATATAGGTAGATATAGATAGAGAGATAGACATAGAGATAGAGATAGACATAGACATAGACAGATATAGACAGATATAGATATGGACATAGATATAGGTATAGAAATAGATAGCTAGATACAGATTTGGATAGATATAGATAGATATAGATATAGATAGATATAGGTAGAGATCGATAGAGATAGATACATAGACAGACAGACAGACAGATAGATAGATAGATAGATTGCCATAATGGGGGATTTTACCGAAATTTCAAGCACACCCAAAGATCGCATTGTTGGTTGTATATCATTTTCTATCCCATTGTATCCCCATAAGAAATTGAAATGGTAGGTTATATAGTTATATCATGTTATATCCCTAGTGTATCCTTTATTTGCCCCATGGATCTCTGGAAGGAATTAGCCATCCATGACATGAGGGTTTGAGATGATTTCCGGGTCCATCCGGAGGACAACTCAATGGTGTTACCTGATACTGTCGGGTGCTTAGAGGAACATATTGTTTGGGATTCGAATTTGCAGATGTTGCAGACCATTTTTGGATTATTTAACTAGAAATATGTGAAATGTGAGCTTACTAGAGTGGATCTTGTTTCTGGCAAGATGGAGATAAGTGACGCACAGATTCCGCACATCAGGAACACATCTCTGCTTGGTACATCAAAAAGTTCGTGAATGTTCGTGATTTTAACTACCCTCTGGTAATTTAACATAGCTATTGAAAATGGCCATTTATAGCGGATTTACCCATTCAAAATGGTGATTTTCCATAGTTACGTAAACGTTTACCAGAGGGTATGTCTCTCCATCCAACCTGGGATGATGATCCCAAACGACGCCCGCCAAGATTCTTCCACCCGACACCATTGTACCGCCCCTGACGGTCTTCGGCGGAAATCCCGGTGTGTGCCATGCCTGGGTAGGGAGGATTCAAATGGTTTCATCCTCCATTCAGGTCGATCCATTCAAGATTTGTCCTGTGAGCAGTTTGTCCTGTGAGCAGTATCACATTCATACTGGATTCATACTCATGTATATATTCTGCTCATGAGTACTAATCCAGAAGGTAAATGTCATGTGAAAATGAGCAGGTTCAGCTGTTCTTAATCAAATGAGATGCAAATGATTTGCACCATGAAGCTACCCTAAGAAGCAGCTGTTCAAGCGCTGCTGCGTTTCATGTAGCCATGGCTGGAGGTATCTTGGAGATCTACCTGAGTCCCAGCAGCTGGTGCAAAAACAGCCAGAATCTCAGCCAGGATCCGGTGGCGTAGGGCTTAGGAGGCATCTACTGGTGGTGCCAAGTCCTCTGGCAACATGTTTTCAGCTACCGATTCGAATGCCTGGCTCAAAGTGCCAACCATGGCAGGAACTCCCAAGCCATGAAAAGGTTGGCATATGTTGGCATTCGAATGTTAGGACCTTACACTTGGTACATGGATAGATGGGATATGATGGGATCCCTCAGGTACAAGCGACTGGTTGGTGGTTTGGAACATTTTTTATTTTTCCATATATTGGGAATAATAATCCCAACTGACTTTCATATTTTTCAGAGGGGTTGAAACCACCAACCAGGCGATTTAAGACATGACACGGTCATGAAAATTTCGCTCCCAGGCATGCGATCACTGAGTACAAACGGTGCACGCCTTGGAACCCAAGATTTTCCCTCGGCAAAGGCTCGGCAAGCGTTCGATCGATATCAGTAGATTTCAATGGAGAAAACCATAGCCTTCAAGGGGTACCCTCTGGTAAACTAACATAGCTATTGAAAATTGATGAAAATTGCCATTTATAGTGGATTTACCGATTAAAAATGGTGATTTTCCATAGTTACGTAAACGTTTACCAGAGGGTATACCAGACAAAACCATGGAGAAAAAGTTGATAAAGAAGCCTGCATTGCCCTGCGGTGGTTTCTGCGTTGTCTGAGGTTCCTGCCAAACCTAAAGAGCGCAGCGGCATCGCCAAAGGGCAAAGCCAAAGCTGCTTCCCCTTGACCGCCGTAAAAGTTGCGCCAGGTTTTGGTTGTGCCTTCGGCCGGGGGATAAGTTGATGGAGGAATGCACAGTCCACGCGCTGACTTTCACTTTCTGGCGTGTCGGTGAAATTATGACATGTATCGCAAACGCGATATCGAGATGTATTTGGTGTGCTATAGTAATTTCAAATCATTTTAGCTGACCCTGCAAAAGCCGGTTGGAGTGACAAAAGGCTCCATTCCGTTTTTAATTGTTTCTCTTAGACACCTTCATGCTGTTTGCCTCATTTTAGGGTCCAAGTGGACCTTCGGGGGGCCGCGCCAATGTTCCGTGGCAGCATGGAGGCAGCAAAAGACAAAACATAATATGGTGCATGTGAATTGTAAGCCTGCAGTTGATGCCGTACGCAGTCGCCTTAAAAAAATTACTTTACTTCGTGTGATCCCCACCATGACATTTATACATTTTCTTACTGGCAAATCTTCTGGCATTCTATCTGACATATCTTCTGACATTCTATTTGACATTCTATCTGGCATATCTTCTGGCATATGATCTGGCATATCTTCTGGCATATCTTCTGGCATTCTATCTGGCAAATCTTCTGGCATTCTATCTTGCATATCTTCTGGCACTCTATCTGACATATCTTCTGGCATTCAATCTGGCATTCTATCTGGCATATCTTCTGGCATATATTCTGACATATCTTCTGGCATTCTATCTGACATATCTTCTGGCATACATTCTGACATATCTTCTGGCATATCTTCTGGCATATCTTCTGGCATATCTTCTGACATATCTATCTGGCATATCTTCTGGCATATTTTCTGGCATTCTATCTGGCTAATCTTCTGGCATTCTATCTGGCATTCTATCTGGCATATCTTCTGGCATATTATCTGGCATTCTATCTGGCATATCTTCTGGCATATATTCTGACATATCTTCTGGCATTCTATCTGACATATCTTCTGGCATATATTCTGACATATCTTCTGGCATATCTTCTGGCATATCTTCTGGCATATCTTCTGACATATCTTTCTGGCATATCTTCTGGCATATTTTCTGGCATTCTATCTGGCAAATCTTCTGGCATTCTATCTGGCATTCTATCTGGCATATCTTCTGGCATATTGTCTGGCATTCTATCTGGCATATCTTCTGGCATATATTCTGACATATCTTCTGGCATTCTATCTGACATATCTTCTGGCAGATATTCTGACATATCTTCTGGCATATCTTCTGGCATATCTTCTGGCATATCTTCTGACATATCTATCTGGCATATCTTCTGGCATTCTATCTGGCATATCTTCTGGCAAATCTTCTGGCATTCTACTCGCGGTTGAGGTCCGGCAGGGAACACTGGGCGTGGATGGTCGTGGTTGAGGTCCGGCAGGGAACACTGGGCGGGGATACTCGCGGTTGAGGTCCGGCAGGGAACACTGGGCGTGGATGGTCGTGGTGAGGTCCGGCAGGGAACACTGGCGGGGATGGTCGTGGTTGAGGTCCGGCAGGGAACACTGTCGCAGTTGAGCAGGAGGACGAGGAGGACAACGAGACGAGGAGGACAACGAGAGGAGGAGGACAACGAGAGGAGGAGGACGACGAGAGGAGGAGGAGAGGAGGAGGAGGAGGAGCAGGCAACTTAGATAAAATCTAACAACCCTCACCTGGCAGGTGGGGAAAAAAACATGGAAATTCACAGTCGATCATCATTTGTTCATTGTTTTTCTCCACTTCAATGGCCATTTTGAGGGACGGAAGAATCCTGGACCCCAATACCAACTCTGATGGGAGGCACCATTGGCGACTTCCTGTAGGATCCCCGGAGCTGCGATGGCAACGTATCACGCAGAGGAAGTTGGATTTGTAGATCACCATCGCAGTAAAGTGTGGTTTGTCCTGGTTTTGCTTGAGGTAATTCATTTGATGAACATCCAAGATGTGTTGGGTGCAGAGTTTTTCTTGATTTCTTGGACGGGGAAGATACCAGGAGGTCGCCAAGCACGGCTGAGGAAGGGCCCAAGCTTCGCTTTCAAAATGAAGTTCTTGGTGTGGGACCTCGGCTGTTCCGAGGAGTTCATCCTTTCATTATAATAATATATCAAAATCTGCTCAAAATCATATAAGATGTAAGATCATATAAAATCATATGAAATCATATAAAATCATGTGAAACATGATTGATGTTGATCCCAAATTCGATTTTGTTTCTCATTTCAATGTCCAGCTCTTTCAAACCTGGGGAATCAAGCTGACTCCAGCCATCCAGCAATTTGTTCCCAGGCGCTGTTGGCCCTGGTGGGTCAGTTTCCCACCCATGGCCATCAATTGTCACGTCCTCAACGCTGGAACTGCAATGGCTTGGTATTTACATATTATGTACATGTAAATAATTAGATATACTTGCAATTAGAGATAAACTTAAATGGATATATAACTACATTAGATATATATGTATATGTGGAATGTAATGGCATAATAAGTTATGTTTTTATGTCACTTTGTGTATGCATTCTATCTGATGGAGTCCTGGAATCCCCGGGGTTTTGGTGTGTGCTTAAGCACTGAATATCATAACCTTCGGGCAACCCAACTGGCCATTGTCAAAGATGCTTTGAAACATGGTGGTTTTTCACTTGCAAGGTTTGTTTGAGTTTGTTTGATGTAAGGCGCTGGTCGGCCGCAATTACCCCAGAGATGAGAGCGGTGTCCATTCCTTTGAAGCGGACGTCAGCTTCGTGGCAGCCTTATTGGTGATGTCGTGGCTATATTTCAAGGCTCTGTCATGGTGAAAATCCATAGGTTTTCCATATGTTGCCACCTGAGTCAATTGCCTGTGAGTCAATGAGAAGGCCCGAGACTCTTCAGGAGTCAGCATCCAATGGATTCCAATGGAACATTTGGATGTTCCTTTGAAGTCAGCATGAGAACAACGCTTTCCTTAGGCCAACTCTGCATCATAGGAAGGGCCTTGGACTGTTGAGCAGGGTGCCTCAGCTGCCTGGGATCGATTCGTCACATATTCACGAATAATCGGAAGTAGAGTGGGGACATCAACGACTAGCAGATACTAACAGTGGGTTTTCATGGGTTTTCTATATATATATATACAGTATGTATATATATATATGACTGTATAGTTAATGAAAGTTATGAAGCCCCAACAGTATGTTTGGATATATCAATACTAAGTCCTGGATATAACCTTATGGAACACCAAAGGTGGACCCGTTGATCCAAAACATGGGTGAACCATCGGAGGTTGTGACGACGCTGAGGCGTTCAGGAGATCCAAGGGCACAGTGAGGCCAGTCTGGTGTGCCTCGGTTCACGTTTGTTGGTGGTTCAACCAACATCACTGTGAGTTTCACCAACCAAAAACGGTTGGGATTTAACGTGGGTTTAATGATGGCATTTAAGTAAATGGATGGCAGTTAAAATGGTATACTGTTTGGTGGTTTGGAACATTTTTCCATATCTTGGGAATGTCATCATCCCAACTGACTTTAAGTCCATGATTTTTCAGAGGGGCAGGTCAACCACCAACATATTGAAACTATAAGTGGATCATCCTCTATCCATCAAGCTGCCAAGCTTGATCCATGGCTGAGGTCGCAGATGCGCGCCCAGGCTGGGTCGTTTTTTGAGAGTTCCTATTGCAGCAAATGGGGAAGCTATGGATCATTCATATATACATGTGAAGTTATCTAATTTTCTTCTTATATGATCTTTATGTGTATACGTATATATATATATATACATATTATCTGTATGTATATATACATATGTATTCCCCATGATACGTCCTTTCTAACGAGTTATTGAATGTTATTGATATATAATGTAGTGTACCTGTTAGCCAGCAAGGATTTGTTTGCATGTTTTTGGTCATCCTTTTCCCGGCCTTTGGCACGATGATTTGGTTCTGTTTGGGATGGATTGAAATTACCAGTTGGGTTTGGCACAAGAATGGGGTATAGCACCAAAATTTGGGATATATATCAATAAATGGTTGGGTATACCAAAATGTGATCATCCTTGACAATCCATTGGAGAAAAATGAATCCCAATGTTCAGATAAAGCCAGGCTCAGCAGCTGCATGCGCTGCAATACTATGGTGAAATCCAGGCGGGGCTGCTCCACAAGGGACGTTGGCGCGTTGGTTTCAGGTCTAATGCCTGCAATGATTACACCGGACTTGGATGAGTTTAAAATTGGTGTAACATGTTGGAACCCACTTTGGATTCACCTGTTGTTTTTTTCATCAGGGTTGGCCTCTCCAACTTCATGGTGGTCGGCTGATCTCCAAGCAGTCGGTACATGTCGGTACTGAGATTTGCACAAATTTGCACTCTATATGGTCTGCAATTTGATCTATACCCAGTTGACAAATATGTTTTGTATGTTTGGGGCGTACTTGTACTGTATAGCTTGGTAATGCTTGTTATAATTATAACTTTACTGCTCATACCCCCATGCCCATTCCCTTTGTGTGCTCAGCTCAAGCACCAAGCAGTGACGGCGATTTGGGTTGGTGGTTTGCTGTTGTAATGGCATTGAGATGTCCCATAAAAATTCCATAAAATCCAACGGGATTTATCATAGTTTTCCCATGTTTTCCCACAGTTTCCCTATGACAAATTAGCCTTTGGGAAATGAACTTCAGGGGCAGCACAAAGCGATCTAAAGGTCGGAACTCCACCGCAAAGTTTCGCGGTGATCTTTGATACGGGCAGCGGCCAGTGATGATACCCAGATGGTGGGGGAAAAGGGGCGGGCTGCAGACAGGGTTGCGATGGCTGAAGATGTCTGAAGTAAATGGCTCTTGGGTAGCTGAATATTATGAAATGGTATCATATGGATTGCAAGGCCAACAGAGTGGTTGACCTGAGAATGGGTCTGAACTTCACTGAAGAGATCAGTTTCTTCTTTGAACCGCAGATTTCTTTTGTCAAGCCAGCAGACTTTCGAGAATGATGTTCCATGCCTGCGTCAGAGGCATGGACGAAAGCATCACTGACTCCCTCACCGGCCAAAGCAGTTCGGGAGGTGTGTCATTGAACAGTCAGTCTTCGGCCTGGTTCAAGGCCTTCTTGTGCAGTTGTTGCTGCAACGTGCTGCTGTTGATAGCTGTCAGTTACCTTGTTTGGTATGCTATTTTTAGACCCCCTACAGATACCATTTGCGCACTTGACTACCGCGCAAACCTTGCCATGGTTCAAGATAACGTGACTGCGGTGGTGCAAGAGTATTCATTGGCAAATGCGACACAAGATCAGATCGATTGTTATCTTGCCCTCTACAAGAAGATCACTTTAATTTGGCCAACTATTCAAATGATCCTGTGACCTACCAATGGAAGATGCAATTGGGTTCCGACTCCCAAATGGCCGAAGCTTTTGCGGAGCGCCGGCAAATGATGGCGGCCAATCACTTCCAACAGCTCTATGATTTGTTGATGGCAGATGGGGTGTGGGCCTACCTCTACTCTCAATATTTTCCCGAAGAGGATCGGGAGAAGTTAATGCTGGCAGATATGCATGAGACTTCCATGATGGTGACGATGGTAAAGATGCCGGAGTGCATAGATGATTTGGTGCATACCTACGGGTTGGAAAACTATGAGAAGCTGGTTACGGTCTTAAGTATGATGTGTATTGATTTGTTCCTTTTTCCCCCACATTTGCCATGATGACCCCCAATGACTCGTATTGACTCATACATTTTTTAGATTAGCAATGTTCCAAACCCCTGTTGGTTGATGATTGTAGGGGTTTTACTATCGCGCATATTAGTAATTACATAGGGGGTTATGATCATCCTTTCCATGAACTGGGTTTGTCTGGAAATAGATGATCTCTCTAAATCTATTGCTTTTCATCCTGTTCCCCATTGAAATTGCATATACCGCCTATTTTCAGACACACCCAAGCTGTGAATTCCTAGTTGGAATATATCCCCCATCGGCTAATCTCACCTATGAATAATTACCTATGATATATCCACCATACGTCCTAGCTATTGGAGTAACCAGCCAGGAAATACTACTTCTATGCACGCTATGCATCAGATGCGGCCAAGATGCAACAGATCTCCGAGGAGCTTTGCGAGGATTTTCCAGCTCTTCCCAGCGGTTAAGGGGCGAAAAAGTGGTGGTGTAAGAACCAGGGTGTCGCCCAGTGATAAATCACATTGAATTAATGGAATGTGATGGGATGTGGTTCATGAATACTGGGATGCACATACAAGTATGCGTGTAGATATATGAGTGATGTGATATGATTTTGTTATACATATATATATATATACGGCAAATGCCTGGGTTTTGCCCGGACCCGCAATGACGACGGGCGACGCATCATCATCACCATCATCATCATCATCATCATCATCACCATCATCATCATCACCATCATCTTAATCATCATCATCAACAACATCATCATCATGATCATCAAAATCATCATCATCATCAGCAGCAGCATCATCATCATCACCATCATCATCATCATCATCAACATCATCATCATCATCATTACGGGGGTGGGAGTTTAATATTCCCTAATATCTTTGTTGATCTTCCCAATTGCATGTAAAGTTTAACGGGGGTGGGAGTTTAATATTCCCTAATGTCTTTGATGATCTTCCCAATTGCATGTAAAGTTTAACGGGGGTGGGAGTTTAATATTCCCTAATATCCTTGTTGATCTTCCCAATTGAATGTAAAGTTTAACGGGGGTGGGAGTTTAACATTCCCTAATATCTTTGTTGATCTTCCCAATTGCATGTAAAGTTTAACGGGGGTGGGAGCTTAATATTCCCTAATACCGTTTTTGTTTTTCCCATAGGAATTTTGGGTGTTTTGACTTTTTTTTAAAATATAGTCCCTAGTACCTTTGTTGTTTTTCCCATAGGAATTTAAGGTTTAACGGGGG